TTTATATTGAAGTATAGGGTATCTCCTATTACTTCCCCTGTTTTATTCTGCTTCTTTAAAGGAAGAAAGGGGGGAGGCCCAGAGCCAAATGTCCCCATTTCCGCTGCCCTAGCCTAATCTCTCTGGAAGCAGCGCCAGCCCCAGATCTTTTGGAGTTTCTGGATGGATACAACCAGGTGCATGCTCCGAGGCCACAGAGGAGGGTATTTTATGACCCATGTAACATAAATGCCAGCCTGCCTTCTTCTTCCTGGTTGATGCAGGGCAATGGTATCTGCTAGCACCAGACATTCACAGGGGGGCTATCATTAGTATCGATTTCCGCAGGAGCCATCCATCCAGGGTGAGAGCGTTGAATAAGTGTAAAAAAAAAAAAAAAGACTCATATGGTTTAGTAATAGACTGGGCACCAAAGGGCTATTTAAAAAACAACTGCTCCTCTGGCAGAAGGGAATGCCTGGTGGCTACTTATTTTATTTCTTACTGGGAGGAACAGGATCATCATCCTATTTTGCATAGAAGGTTCAGCTCGCTCTTTCCCTTAAGATGGGAAGATAAGGGCATTACCTCCCTGAGGCCTTGTATGATATTCCCCATTCTGAGCCCAGAACGCCCAGAACTTTAGAAATTGGCTATTGCCATGTCTGGACTGTGAGTGTGGGAAGGGGAAACTTTTCTGTCTGTTGTTCCCACTACCGTCCCTCACATCCGTGATTCTGAACCCCATGATAAATCCCCTTTGAACCTTTTTCCTCTTTTGATGCTGATTCCCCCTTTATTGGACTCCACTAGCAAGGGTGCATTTAACCTTCCTGAGCTTGCCCACCTGACACATGCAGCCAAGAAGCTTGGAAAGATAGAGTGCCCTGGCCGAGGGTTCCAGGTCTCAGCAAGGCCACGAGGTGGTGACTGCCTCCCAGAACTCTGTCAGGCCACCTTCTGTCCTGGAGATCCCCAAAACCTCCATAGCAACAGCTCTGCCCATCCACACATGCAGTCAGCCCTCCCTCCCGAGTCCACTGCCGGCTGAGGGCCAGCCACCCTGCCTCCCATAGCCACCATCCCTGGGAAGGAGCCCTGACCCCGTCCTTACACCCCTCTACACTCACTGCCTGTGGGGAGAGCTGCTCGCTGTCACAGGCATCCAGGGGGCAGGGTCGAGGGGCCCCCTGCATGGTGGGGGACCATGTTGTCGTGCATGGAATGAAACTGGCCACACATAACAGATATGGTGGCGCTTTGGCGAGCTCTGGGGGAGTCTGTCCTACACGGTGAGGTTTGAACCCTCCTGAGTGACCAGACGCCCAGCGTCTACTTCAAGTGCTCAGTTATAATTATCGTCCGGATTTGGTCAACTGTTCCTCAGGGGCTCCAGGAGGATGAGTGTGTATCCTCCCCTTGCTCTGTGCAGCCTCTAACCTCTAGAGTCTACTAGGGGTCTGGGAAGAACGTGGGAAGTCTGGCCAGTGGGGCCGGCGGCTGGTGACCTCAGGAAGTGGGATATCATCATCTTCAGAACTGTAGTTGTTACTGGGACACCAGCTCCGGGAGATCACAGGTGCAGTCAGCACACCAGGACCTTAGACAAGGCTGGGCTCAGTTTCCCCATCTGGGAAGGGGGCTGCCTGTGGCTAGAAGCAGCCCGAACTCCTGAGCAAGACTAGACCAAGAGGCCGGTGTATGGACACCCCCGCGTGGACACCCCCACGGGGACACCCCGGCCACCGCCGCGCGGACACCCTCACGAGGACACCCCGGCCGCGCGGACACCTACCACGGGGACGCCCCGACCCCATCCTACCTGCCGCGCCCCGCGCAGCGCCCCGTACCCCGCCCGCCACGGCCTGCGTCCGCCACCGGAAGCGCCCTCCTAATCCCCGCAGCGCCACCGCCATCGCCGCCATCCTCGCGGGGCTTCTCGGGCGGCTGGGGCTGCCCGCTGCGCTGCCTGCGCCGGACCGGGGCGGGTCCAGTCCCGGGCGCGCCGCCGCGGTAGAGGTGAGAGCGCCGGCCAGAGCCAGAACCCCGCCGAATGGGGCAGGATTCGCGGCGGGGGCCTTCAGACCTAGGGTGGAACATTGGGATAGGGTGTGGGGAATTCGGACCGCTGTGAAGGGATCTGACTTTGGGTGGGGGCCTCCGGACTTGGGGTGGGGGATGTGGATGGGGACTGGGGAATTCGAAGCGCTGTAAAGGGATCTGACTTTCGGTGAGGGTCTCTGGACCTGGGGTGAGGGATCTGACTTGGGGTGGGGAGCCCTGGATGGGGAGTGAAGAATTTGGACCTCGGTGAAGGGATCCGACCTGTGGTGGGGGTCTCCGAACCTGTGTTGAGGAGCTCCGGATGGGGGTGGGGAATTCGGACCTTGGGTGGGGATCTTTGGACCGGGGTGGGATCCCCAGACTCCTTGTGGAAGGCTGAGGTTGAAGATCTGTGCTGGGGTGAGGGGCTTTAGATAGCCCTGGGAGATCCCGCTTCAAGACTGGGTTGGGGGTCCAGACCAGGAGGATAAGCCTATCCCTGGAGTAGAGCTTGACCTGGTGAGGGTGTGGCAGAGTCACAGGGGAGGGTCCCCCTTGGTCCTTGGGCTGGGATCAGACTCTCAGAGCTGGAGAGTTGCAGGGGCCCTGGGGGAGGGTCTGAGGAGCCCCAGATTCAGAGGGCCTTGGTGACCTCTCTAACAGGTTCCCTGTTGGAGGCCTTGGGGAACCCCAGGGCCTTTCCCTGCGAGAGAATGGCTGCTCCACCAGGAAGGGGCCCAGGACTCCACAGGGTAGGGGGCTGTGTGGTGCGCAGGACCACGTGGGAATGGTAGAGAAAGGGGAAGTCACTTTGGGCCTGCCTTGCTAACAGACCTGCTTTTTGGATTTTTCCACCGGGGGATTTTTGTGTCCTGTTGCTGTTTATTGTTTAAAGTGACCCCCCAAGCCTGAGGGACCATAGGAGCTGCCCTGCAGAGCCCAGTGAGACACTAGTTAATGGAGAAAAAACAGCTTTTACTTGGTAACTACTGACAACATGAGAAAAAGCTGGCTCCATTCTGATTTGACTAGATGTGCCTGGAGTTTAAAGGGAGAGTGAGGGAGTGGGAAGGGGTGGGGACTCAGACTCAGTAGAGTTAGGGAAATAGAAAATCACCAAAACTGGGAAGGGAGGGTTAGCCCCTGTGGAACCAACTGATCTGGGTTTGCCACTGGGGCTTACCGAAGTCAGGCCCCCAACCTCCCACAGAGACTGGGAGACAGGGGCCCCATCCTCAGGTGTTGGCTGGAACACACAGGAAATTCTTGTGGCAGCCTTGAGCTTCTCAGGCAGACACTTTTAAAGGGTGCTAGGATCGTTCTGGGAATGTGGCCTGGAGCTGTTAGGAGCTGTTAGTGTTCGTTCCAGTCTAGATAGGCCAGGGTGAGGCCCAGTGGAGAAGGAGACCCCAAGGAGCCTGGCTGGAGTGTGGGGAGGGAGGGTCTTTGTCAGTACCCCTCCTGTGCAAGAAGAGCAGAGACATGCTTCTTTCCTCTCAACAGTACCCCCTTTGTTTCACATGTCCGTGTGAAGAGATCACCGAACAGGCTTTGTGTGAGCAACATGGCTGTTTATTTCACCTGGGTGCAGGCGGGCTGCGTCCGAAAAAGGAGTCACCAAAGGGTGGTGGGATTATCATTGGTTCCTATAGGTTTTGGGATAGGCGGTGAAGTTAAGAGCAGTGCTTTGGGGGCAGGGGTGGATCTCACAAAGTATATTCTCAAGGGTGGGGAGAATTATAAAGAAACTTCTTAAGGGTGGAAGAGATTATAAAGAACCTTTTTTAGGATGGGGGAGATTACAAAGTACATCGATCTGTTAGGGTGTAGCAGAAACAAATCACAATGGTGGAATGTCGTCAGTTAAGCTATTTTCACTTCCGTGGATCTTCAGTTGCTTCAGGCCATCTGGATGTATACGTGCAAGTCACTGGGGATGTGATGGCTTAGCTTGGGCTCAGAAGCCGACACCCTCCATTTTCTGTTCTGTGTTGTGTTCATAAAGTACCAGCGGGACCATCTGTTGAGACTTGGTAGCAAAGGATTTTTGCTGGATGATGGAAGCAGTCAGGCATTTAGAGGAAACAAAAATAGTAGCAGGCTGGGCACGGTGGCTCCTGTCTGTAATCCCAGCACTTTTGGAGGCCGAGGAGGATCATGTGAGGCCAGGAGTTTCAAACCAGCCTGGGCAACATAAAGACCCCATCTCTACAAAAAATTAAAAAGTTAACCCAGCGTGGTGGGATGGGCCTTTAGTTCCAGCTACTTGGGAGGCTGAGGTGAGAAGATCCTTTGAGTCTGGGAGGTGGAGGCTGCCGTGAGCCGTGATCTTGCCTGTATACTCCAGCCTGAGCAACAGAAAGAGGCCCTATCTTTTTTTTTTTTTTTTTTTTTGAGACGGAGTCTCGCGCTGTCGCCCAGGCTGGAGTGCAGTGGCCGGATCTCAGCTCACTGCAAGCTCCGCCTCCCGGGTTCACGCCATTCTCCGGCCTCAGCCTCCCGAGTAGCTGGGACTACAGGCGCTGCCACCTCGCCCGGCTATTTTTTGTATTTCTTAGTAGAGACG